AAGTGATGAAAAGAAATGGAAAGTCAAAAAGAAAAGTAAGGTGTTCATCGGCTTTCAGAACGAGAAAAAGTCTTATCCAATCGAAAAGATACCAGAACTACAATAACCACATCTGGACTGACCTTTGCTCTTTTATCGTCATTATGGTTTAAATATAATGAATCAGACTCTACAAAGCTGGTGGCCTCAGCTCTCCTGTCAGAGAAGTTTTAACAATGACTAACAGGTATGAAGTCTGTGAAAATGTGTTATTTCCATCGGAAAGCCTCTGTGCGTTTGTTTGACTTTGTTTTGCTTGGAAAATAGGAAGTATCTGAAACGGAAAACCCCCATTATTGTGATGTTTTGGTCATCATTCCTGTTGGTTTGGATAATTTATGACTCACTTACTTCATTTACTGAGATATGGCAACTCACATAGCAACGCAGGTTGAAAACAAATGTGATGATTTTTGATGTACCACATCAAAAAGCTCTGGATCTTTGATTTGTTGCTTAAAAAACCCCCTGATCTATTAAATATCCATCAATCTTTCTTTGTTTATCAATAGTTTAGTTTAGAACCGAGACGTATTTTAAATGCAGATCACATATTTTTACTTCTGGGTACATTTGTCTTTTAGTTTCTGTATTTTTTTGCATTGAATCTACAAATACACACTAGAAAACTGCAGAAAAATGACTTATAGTTTCTGCTGTGCTTCTATTATGTACTTTATGGTAATTTTAATTTCCCCTTTGAGATGTATCTGAGGAGATCACGTTAAGTAGAGAAGACGAGATTCAGGCGAGTTTAAGTAAAAAAAAAAAAAAAAAACAATATTTTTAGTAGCAGCACTTGATTAGATTCATTTGGACAATTTCCATCGCACACACTCAGCGAGCTCCGTTTGCACGCAAAGGTGCCGCGTAGGCCCCTGTGTCCCGTCTACACATTCTCAGGTGGTGACTTCAGCTGTGTGTGTGTGTGTGTGTGTGTGTGTGTGTGTGTGTGTGTGTGTGTGTGTGTGTGTGTGTGTGTGTGTGTGTGTGTGTGTGTGTGTGTGTGTGTGTGTGTGTGTGTGTGTGTGTGTGTGTGTGTGTGTGTGTGTGCGTGCGCGCATGTCTGCAAGAGGTTGTGGGTTTTTGGGGGCCAGCCCCTGGGTCGAACACCGTCAGTCCAGACTGTTATTCCTGCTGTAACACACACACACACACACACACACACACACACACTCTTTCTCCCTCTCTTTTTCCCTCTCTCTCTCTCTCTCTCTCTGACTCGGCTCGTCTGGCCTCTTCACTCATCTGGGGTTGATTAACTTCCTTCTCCACACACACACACACACACACACACACACACACACACACACACACACACACACACACACACACACACACTAACACAAACACACTGACATGAGCTGTGGTCTATAACTGTGTAAACTGTGTGTGTTTTTCAGATGCACACACACACACACACACACACACACACACACACACACACACACACACTAACACAAACACACTGACATGAGCTGTGGTCTATAACTGTGTAAACTGTGTGTGTTTTTCAGATGCACACACACACACACACACACACACACTTAAGAGTGTTGTGATGACGGCTTCCCATGAACTCAGTCACCCTTATGAAATCTAATCTGATGTTCAGGACTCTCTCTTCTTCCTCTGCTCTCAGATAACTCCGATGTCATGACTTGTTGCCTACTTTCCAGTTTTTTTCCTTTCGCTTTATTTTACATGATTTTGAACATCATTTTTTACAATCATTGCTTTCTTTAAACTCTTGCAGGACTTCTCCCTAATCTTCTGAATGTTTCTGACCATTTTTTGCTTGCATGTTTTGCCACCTTTCTCTCCTGTTTTAGCGACATTGATTACAAAGTTAACAACATCAATCTGCAAGTTCTAAATGGTTTAATTTCTTAAAAACAATTGTTAACTTCCATTATTGTCCTTACAGTTTGTATTTTATCTTACAGGGATATTTTGGCCAGTCGAACTTTGTACTGAAAGCAAACCAGAAACCTTTAAAACGCTCTGCTTTCTTCTCTTCAAAATATATGGGAAGTTATATTAAATGGGAATAAACTCCTTCTACCTTCATAAATCTTAACACAGAAACACAAAACACAGCTGTATTTTACAAAGTTACAACTCTCGTCTTTCCTCCGAGGATTTTCCATATTTACATAAGAAAATGACTGAAACCTGACATTTATTAAAGCCTAAAAAAGTGATGGAAAACTGGACATAAGCAGACCTGTGCAGTCTCACTGGAGTCGTCTTTTCAGACTCAATACCAGGTTAGATAAATCATGTTAAAATTGATGTATTTTCACGTTCCAGTAATGATCTTGTGGGAATGCCGGGTGGGAAACTCTCCCAAACCTCCCCCCCCCCCCTTCGCTGGAAAAGACGGCGTTACTGTTGAGAAATTACTCGGCTCTCCAGGGGAAATTCGAGTTGAACTTTATCTCTTTGATTTCCTCCTCCAAACATTTAGGCTCATTCTTTCTTTGGCTGCTGCAGCGCTGTTGTTTTCAAGAGCGATGTTAACTCAGCTCAGGATTAAAATTGATTTGACAAACAGCAAATGTGACTCATAAATGAAAATTCCCTCCTTGGCGTAGCTCCGAGCCCCTTCCTCATTGACGTTTCAGGCTTTTAATGGACGCAGTTATGACTGATGAAGAAGGGAAAGAACCTGACACGGTCCAAAAGTTCCCTTTGAACTTTTTAATGTCCTCACCTGCTCGGTTCCCAGCCGACGTCCAATAACGGGATGTTGTCACAAACGCGGCTCATAAAACTGAAAGTTAATCAACCATCACATTACTTAAAGTTCAAAGGTGCACTCTGAACCCCGTGTGAGTCAGAGGGTTATGAAATACAAACATCAGCACTTTAGCAGCTGCTCGGTGTCAAAGAATGAAAGACCCCCCAAAAGCCAGGCCAATGTTTAGGGCGGACTGACTCTACCTGCAGGAAACACTGACTGTCTCCTTTAGAAGATAAAGACTCATGCAGTGAGTATTAATTCATCATTATTTCTGTGGTAAATGATCATCTTTACTCACTTCTTTGAAAATGCTAGCAGCAGCTGATGCTTGCAGCCATTCACCCACACAGTTTCCTGTACCTGTCTGCCTTTAATGGTTTATTTTTGGGCTTTTTAATTCCTCTATTTTGTATGGACGGTGTTTAGAGTCAAAAATGGGGAGAGAGAGTTTTTATTTTTTTATTTAACCTTTATTTAACCAGATAAAGAAACCCATTGAGATCAGGATCTCTTTCACAAGGGTGACCTGGCCAAGAGGTCAGCAGCACATGTCAAAAGAAAAGTTACAATTATGCCGGAAAGGTGCCACAGGTCAGATACGAACCCAGGTCGCCTGCTTGAAGCCTCTGTGGCGCCACCACTGGGCTACCGGCGTCCCTACCTGCCTGCTTTTAATGCAAACAAATTTAAATGTTCGTATGCTGGTTTAGAATCAATATCTTCATCTCCACACAGACACATAAAGGTCATCCAGGCAGTTTACTTTGTCAAACAGCCGAGCTATGAATCATTTTATTATGTCTTTAATTGTATGTTTCTGCATTTAACTTTCATAAAAGTTGTTGCGTGATTACAGTTAACTAAGTGCTGATAAATTTAAGGGTTAAGTAAATACAGTTAAGAAGTCGTTTCTTGTCACCGCATTTCACATCACGCTCACACAGATTATAAAACTGTTTGTTTACCGGTTTTATATAACATCCAAATATCCTCTGCGTACATAATGCACAACAACTTTAAATTCCCTTACCAGAAATTTGAAATATCTTCCTGTGCTAACAGCTAAAGTTGTTGCTTATTTTCTTACATAAAAATTATCTTATTCATCTTTTAAATCCTTTGTTATGATGGAAATAATTGCTGCTACAGGTGAGCTGCTGCTTAGCAGGGATGCAGCATGCTAAGCTAATGTTTGCTCATTCACTGTTGATTCTGAAGGAAAACCTCCTGCAGTTAATTTTCTGCCCACTAAGCAGTAAGACAGCTGCTGTGGTGTGTGTTTGGGTGTGTGTGTGTGTGTGTTTAGTTTAAAGTCAGTTCATTAACAAGCATCACACGGTTTTAATTTGCAGCTTTAATAAGCCGATTAACACACACACACACACACACACACACACACACACACACACACAGACACATGCAGCCGGGTTATATTTACCCTGCTGCTCGGCTGTGAACGTGTTTAAATATTTAATGAAGTAAGGAGAGCTCGCTGCTGTTCCCATAACAAACACGATTAGATAATACTGTCACTAAGATCAAATTACTTTCTCTTTCTCTGCATTAACTCTTTATCTCTCCTCTTTGTATCACTTTTCTTTCACTTTACTTTATCCTCTGTCTTTACTCCTCTTATGGTTTCTCTTCTTTTTGTTGAAATCATCTTAAATTTAATGGATTTGTTTTATTTTTGTATCACTTTATTGTTTTCTAATAAGTCACTGCTGTTTGTTGTGAAGTTCCGTTTTGGTCCAACAGCACCATCTGGCGGCCACTTGTGGTATTACATCAAGATTCACTGTCAGGCACTGAGACATGTAATTTAGTAGATTTATGTTTAAGTTCATGTCCTAGTTGTTCCTGTTTCACATTTATTACGTTAATTGAGTTAATAAATAAATGTTATGCATAAAAAATAGTTAAAGTAGGTGCAAAACAGAAGAGAAACAACAAAAATAGAGAGAAAAACAGCAGAGTTTGAGAAAGTGAAAGGATACAACTCTCAGTAATTAAAGTTTTGTATGTCAGGAGAAACAGATAAAAGTAAGTAGAGTAAAATAGAAACATTTTGTAAATTAGAAATGTGTAAATTAGATTCTCAAACGAGCAAACACGATGCCATTTCTGATACCTGTAGTACATTTTTGAACCACTAGATGGAGCCATTAAAAACTTTTACTCACTGAGCCCTCAAAATCATACAAATAGAAATGGATGTCTTTAAAAAAGTGTAAACTTTATTCTTAAAAATTGTTTGTAAAAGCTACACAAGAAGAGATTGTTTATAAAACCAAAGTTTTCACAGAGATATAACAAGACAGTAAAAATTATAAATGTTGGAAACAATTATGTAAGTGCTTTTTTTTCTTTCATCCTTTGTGTTTTTGCGTGTTTTATTTAATCTAATTGTGTATTTTTTCTGACAAATGTTCACATTTTCCTCAAAATGAAAACTGACATTTAAATGTGTAAAGCCAGAAAATGTGAAGATCTGATGTAGTCATGTTCCATCTAACTGCTACTGAATTAAAAACTCAACATCAAAAGGTTTGTCTTGCTGCTGTTCGGCTGCAGCAATGTGCAAAGTTGCTTCGTGCAGCTTGAGGAAACTGCTTAAAAAAATAAAAGATTGAAAGCTTCTTTAAGTCCATATTTGACCAGTGTCCTCATGTCTCTATTCTTCTTCTTTGGTCTTCAGAGGTTCTTTGATTTGGAGCGCCGTATCAGAATCGACAGACTCCTCATCCTCGTCCTCATCGAAATCCTCGTCTTCATCCATCTCGTTGGTGGCGTACGAGCCTTTGTGTCTGGACAGACACCACAGCAGCACGGCGGCCATGCAGATCAGCAGCAGCAGCACCGCAAAGATGACACCTGAGAGAGGAGGACATCAATACAGGTAATCATTAACTCTTCACATACTGTATGGAGTCAGAGGATTTTAAAATCCTTCATTTAGTCTTTGGAGTCAGGTGTGTCTCTGTTGTCAGGGTGGATTTTCTAATAAAAAAATGAACATATTCTTATATTAAATTCACCATAAGTTTAACAAAATCTGCAGTTTTGGATCCTACTTCCTTACTCTGTGTTTCAATAAATAATACTTTTTGAAAGGAATAGGTTTTCTTACATGTTAGCAAACCACAAATCAAAATACTATATTTCTGAAGATATTTATGCAGCATTAATGAAACGTGGGAGAAAAGAATAACATGAAGTTCTAACCTCCAATTAAAGCTGCAAACTCTCCATCGTCAGCTGTGTTTAGGCCTGTGAAGACAAACATTCATATTAGCATCATGGAGCTTCACACAGATGTTATTAAAAGCAGGTGTTATTTCTTTTTAAAGGTAAAAGTCAAAGTGTGGCAGGGGGGGAAAAAATTGCAGATTAAAAACAGACAGAGTTTTATTAACAAACTAGACCGACGCGTTTCGGCTTGTGGCCTTCATCAGGGTCATCAACTCATAAAATAAGTTGTCGTAAAGCTTCACATCGTCACATCGACATTCTCAGCCTGCAGATTATTTCTGCATCGAGCCGACATGCCCGTGTGGAGCTCACAGTTATGTTCACATTATAAAGTGAGACAGCAGCTGAATTCAGACATGTGTGGCATTCAAACACCCTCAGTCTATTTTAAAGGCGAGGTGACAGACTGACAGAGGCGGGGATTGGTTTAGGAGTTTTAGTACTTTTAGTCGCAGCAGGGAGTGTCTTATCAGCCCGATGTCAGCAGAGGACCATGGGAAGGAGTGTGTGTGTGTGTGTGTGTGTGTGTGTGTGTGTGTGTGCGACGCCTCCAGGGTCTGTCGGCGTGGAGATAAGAGCTGACACACTGATACCGGCTGGACCTCGTTTCCACAGCGAGGCCAAAGACAACAGCCGACTAAAATCTGTTTGTATAAAAAAAAGCTGTCAGAGCTTTGAGGGTTTCATCGGAGCTCTTCCTGCATTGCCAGTTTTATCAAGTCGAGTTAGACGGTTCCCAACCTAAGGCTGGGGTCCTTTTGAAAGGGTCACCTGATAAACCTGAGGGGTGGGAAGATGATTCAAGGGAAAAAGTTTGAGTCTCTAATCTTTATTATTTTGTGAAATACTGCAGTATTCGACACTTCAAACGATTAAATGTATCTTTTGTTGGGAACTTGAAAATTAAATTAAACATTTTTAAAGAGTTTCTAAAGCCAAAAAGTCTGTGAAGCACATTTTAAACCAGTTATTAATCTTATTATTAGAAGTAACATCTGTCAGGTAGATGCAGGGCAGCTGAAAAAGCACAATATTCACTCAGAGAGGCTGTGGTGTGGAAGTTTAAAAATCTAAATCTTAAATTTAGAATACTTTGATTAACTACATTTAGTTTCAGCTGCTTATTAAACAGAAATTTAGTGAATGTTTAGTATTTAAAAAACAGAGAAGAGAGAAATCTAAAGACAGCCGCTCTAAGGGATCGGGTCCTGAAACTGAATCTGGAAGATTTATTTCTCTTAAACCTTCAGACAGAAATCAGTGACTTTCATTTCTTTTTATTCACTGTCGGCTTCAGGTTGAGTCTCTTGTGTTGATAAAACTTCCTGTGATGGTAATTTAATCCTTTCAATTCAAATAACCTCACAGGTTACTGACTGTATTTCAGTTATTCGTACCGATGGTTACCACGGTCGGGTCTTTGGGAAAAGAAGTCGTGATTTCGGTTAGCGTGCTGACAGGAGGGCCGGGGGTCACGGTACCATCCATGATGACGTCAACCTGTGCCCAAAAAGAAAAAGAAAATGAACAAAGTATGACGGGCAATTGATATAACTACAAGGAAGATGTAATAAGAAGTCTGTATTTTTTAACTTTAGTTTAATTCCTCCTTTAAATTTGCAGATTTTTGCAGCATCATCTTCAAAACAAACACAGTCCCATTGTTGAGAAGTCTGACTCGTGCAGCAGGTATTCTAAAAATAACTGTACCTGCTCAAAGATAACAAAATAATCTATAGAAAAAAAGCTTTAAGTGATGAGAGTTTGCTGGATTTTGAAGTAAATATAAGCAACAGTACACATCATTGAAATCCAACAAGCAGCTGGACTTTATATGAAGGATCTAAAGTTACTGAGTTTGTTTGTGAATCTCCAAAGCTCGTCGTCTATAAGCTGCAGAGCTTCAAAATAATTGATATCTGATTTTTATTCTGTTCTAATCAAACCTCCTCAAAGATTATATCGAGTTTTACTCTCATTGCACAACAACTCTGGTCTTAAAGTTTGATGTTCAGAAATACTGAAATGTAGGCAACACACTGAACACACAGCAGGATGCAAAACTTAACCAGCACGGTGTAGAAGACTATCGACAGATTGCTAAACATGACGGAGGGAAAACAAAGATGCAGCAGCTGCAGATTGTTAAATATCACAGAACGTTCAAAACTGAAATAAAACAAGAATAAAGAAAGAAACACCCCAAAAAACTCACCAGTTCTCCAAATCTGAAAGCAGCTCTTCATTCACTTAGAACAAGAAGAAGAAGAAGAAGAAGAAGCACAACAGAGCATATGCTGCACACACACGCACACACACACACACACTCAGATGGGTGTGGTGTCGGTCCCCAGGGTCGGGATCTGTTCCCCCTCCGGCCAATCAAGAGTCTGACTCCACCTCTCTGATGTTAAACAGCCTGCAGATGTCTGAAACAGTGCAGCTGACAACACCTCTTACATCATCTGTTAACACACACGCCCCTCCCACACACACACACACACACACACACACACACACACACACACACATTATGATCCCTTGTGTAGGGTGTGTGTCTCTGTATACACAAGATGCCTTTAATACTTTTTACCCTGTTATCAAAAATCGGTCATGTTCAGCATTTTGCAAGAGCTCTGGCCTCTGCTTGCAGTTTTCTACATTACTCAGAATGCTTCAAAACAAGAAGACAAGACTGTTTTAAGATTGTCATTTTGAGTTTGAACCCTGTAGAGAACTGAAATCCAAAAAACAAATTCTTATCAACAAGTCTGTCTTAGGTCTACCTCCTTCAGATCAGCCAGGAGAGTACAGGGACTTCTTTTCTCACCCTCTGTTCCAAGTCAGAGCTGAACTGGGGGAAAAGGCGTTTGAGTTTAGAACGAGTTACAAAATGAGCTGAAACTTTACGAGCTGGTCTCGTTGGATGCTGTTAAGAGGATGTTAAAGGTCACTCCAAGTCCTTAAATATATTCATCATTTATTTAATTTCATATCAGCAACATCCAAACAAACCATCATCAACATTTCAAAAGACACTTTTCTGTTCCAACATTTTTAAACCATTTACATTTGTTTTCATCAAGAGGAGAAAGTAGATTTTTAATTCTGGCATTAGTCTACTTTGAATTGTTTGTCCGACTAAACTCGGCTCTTTGTAACGATGTCTACAAAGTCGTAAAACTTCATGATTACTTTAGCAGCTAGCTAGACTCTTAAAAGTGTTATTGACAGAAACAGGAAACAAGCTGTCACAGAATCTAAACTCTTTATTAGTCACTTAAAATAAATGCAACATGTCTGAGAAAAAAAACCCACAAAGCTCTCACAACATCTACCAGTCATGTTTTAATTTTATAATATTTCTCAACGTCAGGATTGTTCTACAAAACTAGCAGCTGCAGAGAAAGAAAAACTCTCAATTGTACTCGCCAAAGAAATGTCTTATTAGACTTTGAAGTTAGCCGTCAGAATTTTTAATGAAAGAAGATTTCTTCTCAACTTTAAACCCGAGTGTTTCATCTTGAATTGCCAAAACTCACAAGCCAACAGGAGATTTTAAACAGCCAATCAAAAGCAGCCAACTTACAGGTGACATTCAGTATCTGGTAGGTGAAAACATGTTTAAACTGAGTAGTTGGTTAACTACCTAAAAGGCCACTGAGGTTGATAAATATGTTAGCTTCTCTTGATTCACTGGCCTCCTTAAATTTTCAATTCTAAATTTTACAAAGAACATTGTTACCGGTGATTACGTAACTTGCCGCACTTAAAGTATACGAGCCAAAGTTTTCTAAACAAGAGTTAAAAATAAGAGTCTCTTAATGTTTATAACGTGCAGAGAAGACAGAATGTCATTTTGACGACTTTTGACGAACAAGCTGATTTTGCTTATTCTCTTTGTAGTCACACCAGGTCGAGCCGAAACATCAATCCAGTGCACACTTTACAAATTATCCAAACAGATTAACTGACAAACGTTGATTCTGCTAACGAGGCAATTAAAAAAGTACAGAAACATCAGCTGTTCCTTTTGTTTTGTGGATTTCTTTGTGGCCAAACTGGCTCACAGGTAAAGCTCAACTCACAAGCTACTTTTGAAACCTTTACCAGCCGTTCAGAATTTGTTGTTAATTTAATTATTTACAAGTCACTTTTACATTTTGGTAGCCAACCAGATTTTTCAAGCCCAGTGCTGATAAGTAGTTTACTTTGATTTGAATTTTAATAACAAGCTTAATAACAAGTAGTCTTGCAGAGACTTTAAAATTAGTGTTAAGGATTAGCTCAAACAAACATGTACCAGCCTCTCCAGTGTTTGATAATCAATCTACAAATCACTTTACATATTTAATAGTCAACACAGCTTTTCAAAGACGGGCGCTAATAAGAGGTTCGATGACTGCCAAAGAGGATATTATTGGTAGCTGCTCGGCTTCTGAAGGGGCTTTGGGATCAGCCTAAACTCATTAGCCCATAAGAAACTTTTATCAGCCAATTTAATGTTTTTAATGAACTACCTCTGAGCCACATCTAAACTATTATATACTATATAAACACATAAAATAGAATCTCTAAATCGTATCCAGTGCTGACCAACAGGATATTTTTGCCACTACAGAATCTCAAAGCCATTTGGAAGACTTAACAAACCATCTATAAAATCAAACAGAAAGAGAAGATTCTTAAAAGTAGATTGACTCTGAGCTGAAGTTTCTAACACTGAACTCTTTTCCAGCCACTGCTAACATTTTGGCTACAGGCTGGAGTTGTATTTTCCCACGCTGCTACACTCCTCTGAAGGCATCGTCAGCTTGTGCGTTGCTAAGCTTCTTCTTCTTCTTCTTCTTCATCTTAATTTACTGTAGCTCCCCCTCCGTCCCCCTCCTTTACTCGTCCTCGTGCTCGAAGAACTCGTGGCAACAGACGGTAACCACGGAGATGAATGTCATGAACTCCTGGAAGTCGCACTCGGCGTCTCCGTCCGTGTCCAGGCTCTCCATCAGGCTGTCGAGGGTGCTCTGGTCTTTCACATGCTGCAGGGGGGAGAGAGAAAGTTCACATGAGGACGTTTACGGGACGTTAGGACGATAAATTTAATCCGTTTGGATTCATTAACGACTGAAAATATTGACTCAGGACATCCCATAAATATTTGATGGATTTTTGTCTCTGTGGGTTAAAGTGCAACTGTTGAACATTTTTAATAAACAATACAAACTTTTGTGTACTCAGATTAATGAAACAACAACAGATGACTGTACTGCTCTCCTTAATATCTATTTATTCATGTTTTTTATATCTGCATCTTATATAATATTATATAATATTTTAACGGTATTTTTGTACCTTTTTCTTCTTCTTAAACATTTCCCTTAAAATAAATAAAATTCTGCCTAAATCTATCTAAACAACTGTTTTCTTGACCTCAGAATAGAAACGCTCAGTATCCTGAATCTTCTCCTGATTGACACCGATATATTTTTTCCTAACTAACATATTTTTAAGTGATGTCAGATGGATGTATTTCAGTAAAAAATGAAATATTTGGTCCTAACTTGCAGTATGAAGTCGTCTGAAAGAGAAATACAAAAAAAAGGCTTCAGGTATCTCAAAAAGACTACAGTGCTCCGTGCTCTTTCCATCATTTCTGACGTGTTTTGTGTTTTTGTGTTTCTCACCGCCATCAGCTCGGGCAGCTCGTCATGGAGCAGATCCTTCAGCTCGCTCTTCTTCAGTTTGTGTTTGTCTCCTTCTCTCCCCGAATACTTCTGAAACACCGAAATGATGGTCGCCATCGAGGTCTCCAGGTCGGTCATCGTCGTCTCAAACTTTTCACCTTTTCTTTTAAAAACAAAAGATCAAAATGAGTCTTTTTTTCTCTCCATCACGGTCTGAATGCTGCTGTCAGGATGCAGAAAGTGTCAAAGGACTTTCTTTTGTTATAAACTTCTTATAAAATAATTGACTTACAGTGTTCTCCATCTTTAAGCAACGCGTACACGTTAAATTATGACTCAAATGAACAAAAATCTTCAATGTGCTGCTTTAAAAACTCACTAAATGCACATTTTACCAGCATGACAGAGCAAAAAAAAAATCTGCAGTAACTTTAAACTCTGAGATTTAGGTTTTTTTTTCTGTCATGGTTTTTCAAAGCATCAAATATATAAAAAACTTTCAGCACTTTCTCTAGTCTAACATAAATAATAACATTGTTGAATCCTTTAAAAACGAAGATTTGGACATTTTTTAAGTGTTTTTTTTGTCCATAATGCATCCTCAGATTTCCTCGTTTTCTTTTCTAAAATGACGATCTTTGATAGCCTTACCTTGGTGTGAGGTCAGTCAGGAGGTGTGAGAGCAGAGAGTGGAGGCAGAGGATGGACAGCAGCAGGATTTATACTGCAGCAGGGTGCAGGGTGGAGGGTGGTGGGTGCTGATGTGGACGGTGCAGTGCTGAGCTCATCCAGCCTGTCCTTCAAACTGCTGACCAATCAGCTCCGTCCTCCTCCCCTCACTCCACTGAAACACAGAACTGATGGGACTGTCTGACTCTGAATGTCAGGAAGGATTAACTTTTTCAAAGCGAGTCAGAAGGAGGGGAACACATACGCTAAGAAAAGTTATCGTTCAGGAAACTAAACTTTGTTAAATGACCAAAACAAACACTTGAACTATTCTCAGTTTGGAGGTTTCACATTAACAACCATATGTTCTGCAAAATCAGATGCATGCATGTTTGAATCCACTTCTGTTAGAAGATACCAGCTGTTTGTTTATTTAGACAAGCGGAGAGTGGTGCTGTACTTTAGTCAGGAGCATATTAACCATCACTCAAGAAATGTTCCCAAAGACACCATCTTCATCACTTACAAAGATGTTTCTGTCACTTCCTTTTATTCCTGACGGACTTTCTCTTTTCGGTTTGATTCTATCACTGCAGCAACTCAGCCATGCTTAAATTGATATTTATGAGGGAGCTGGGTGGCCTGGCGGTTGTGTCGTGTGCCCCATGTGCGGAGGCTGTGGTCCTCATTGCTGTGGTGGCCATGGGTCCGGGTCCGGCCTTTGCTGTGTGTCACCCCCCTCCCCCTTTTCTCCCCCAAACACCACCTGTCTCTCTTCGGCTGTCCTATCCAACGAAAGCAAAAATGGCCCCCTAAAAGACCTTTCTATTTTTGTTATTTTTGCAACATTTAAGCAAAACTTGTGACATTTTTGTTGTTTCAAGACTACTCCCCTTTTTCTCTGATTAAACTATAAATGAAAAGAGATGGATAGAAACCTTTTCTTTGCAGTTGTGATACAAAGAGATGTGAACATTAGGACTCTTAAGTTGCTTTTTGTTGGATTCATTAGAGAGGAAAATAGATTTAACCACAGAAGGTACATTTCTGAACTACTGGTACCTTCAGATTTGTTCAGTGGTGGAAGAAGTTTAGCTAAAATGAAACCAAAACTCACAGAGGAGAGGAGTGGAAACCCTCTGGTTAAGCTGAGATAAAAACAGATGTAAACTAGTAAACACAAACAAGAAGAGTAAACTTCTGTATCCTCATACGTCGGTCATAAATCGTACACCATCTATCTGTTCAGCGTTAGATTGGGCTCTGCTACTCCTCGTTGTGTTTCGTGCATCTGCTGGGCGACAAAGGCTCGTTTTAGAGGAAGCGGCTGGCCGTGCATGTTAATGAAGACGTTCTTTTCTCTGTTGAAGTTGGCCAGACGTGTGCCCTCCTGCAGCCTGAGCAGAGCTCACAAACAGTAAATCTGCTGCGGACAGAGAGGCAGGAGTTCAGACGACCCAGAGCCAGATTTTTAATCCACAACGCTGTAAACAAACTTTCCTGAGGGAAAATAAACATTGAATTTAATGTGTGCCTTTACTAAAGAACATTAGAGGCACAGAAGGAGCTGAGTAACGAAAAGAAAGGGATGGGCGATCAGATCAAAAAGTGTAGCTGCAGAGTGTCAGGTGCATTTTATGATTGTTATGTCAGTAATCTGCCAAATGTGCTGAATTCCCTGAATGACTTGGCATCCTCCAGCGCCCTCAGAGACCTCTGACATCCCTCCTCTCTGTGTATCTTCAGTCCGAGCAGCGAACAGAGCCGTTTATTAACATGATAAACCGTCTCTTTGTTTGGAGATAAATTCACTCCTCACGAGGAAAACCACAGACGACTCATTGTTGGTTTAAACACTGAAACTTTGTGTGCAGAAACAAGACGAGAGACGACCGAACATACTGGAAGCATCCATCAGTCCTCTGGAGGTGTACATGTGCTGAATGATGCATGATACGTTTGGAAGTCAACAATTCAGCATCAATAAAAGAGATAAAATCAGCCAAATGATCTTTTTATTTTTACAACTTAAGTGAAATTTAATCTGAAGCGGTCCTCATTTTAAACATTCATCAACAGAGAGATGTAAATAGTCAAAGATCAATATCTTATTTTAATTTCACCTTCATATTCAAAATGTCTGCGCTTAAATTCTGACAAATTGAGTCCTTTTTAAAAATGGTATCTCACAGTAGCACATAATTAAAGACCATAAAAAGTCTTAATTGAGATACATTATTTGTTTGAATGTTTTTTCACATTTTTATTTCTGTCCTGGTTTGCTGCGTACATTTTACTGTTATGTTTTGTATATTTGGTTGAAGTAGTCATAGATTTCTTTGATTTCAAAGTGTTGTTAATCATATTAAAATAAAGAAACAACTTCTAAACTTCAGAAGTGTTTCAGTTTTGTGATTTTGTTTTACTGAACGCTTTCTATTTGAAGTGACAACCATGAGAGATTTCACACTGCTCACAATCAGCCCCGTCTTTCTCCTCCTCTGTTGTGTCTCCTTTTAGCATTTCGTCTCCAGGGAGATGGCGTCCTCAAACGACCGTGGCGTCCTCGGAGTCCGGCCACTGGGACCCTGAGCTGAGCCGTCGCCTTGGCAACAGGTCAGTGCCCCCTGCCGGGCTTGAAAAGGTTTTGTCAGGGTGCCGAGTCATCACCTGGCAGCCTGTGTTAACCTGAGATTTTGTCTCTGTCTTCTTGTTTTTTTAAACTTTTTAGTTTTTCTGCTTTGAAGCCAAAATAAGTGTTCTTTTTTTCACACATTGTGTTTAATATGTTTGACCACGACCAAACTCTCTTTTGGAGGAATAAGAGGCATCAAAAGTCACAAGTATTATGTGCATGTCTCCTGGTAGTTTCTGTAACCCACCACTAGAGGGCAGCAATTCATCAACCATGAACTCCCCAACATACCAAAACAAAACTTCAACCCTTCAAATTGCCATCATTTTACCAATAAATTAGAAGTGTCACATTTTATTCAAAATCATGATTAAAACTTAAATGACTTATCTAACAGGATGGGAAAAATGGGTATCAGTTAAACCTACAGCATCAATAATTATCATTTAAACTGTGCTCAAAGCCTTAAAATTAGTCTTTGACAATTTGTATTAATCCAGATGTTCAGCTTCAGTCTTTGAAACCTTAAACAGAACGTACAACAACAAACTAATGACATGGAAATCACCTTGGAATTTACTAAATATTTCCAGGGTTTAATTGTCTCAATGATAAAAAGTCCTGAGATAAATCAAGTCTGAAATCAAGAAAATCCATTTGATTTAGGAAAATACTGAAAAAGCAGGTCAGAAAATGTGACTTTAGGGAGACCAAAAGACGAATAAAACGTAAACTTAAGAGATGTTTGCATAAATTAATTAATTTAGAGCTTTCTGATGTTAAAGATGTGACGTCAAGGTGTCTTCATTTTAAAGAAAACATGACTAAAAACTAAATTAAGTTGTTTGAACCACTATTGATGATTTCACTTTGTTAAAAAAACATGTTGGAATCATAAATAATGTCCAACAGATATTTCTTCCTGCTGCGACAAAAGCTCGGTTGAAATCAGGCCAGGTGGCTTCATGGCGCCCGGCCGGGTTGGAGTCTCCCTCGGCTGGATTACTTCCTGGCATCAGGTCGGTGTGCCTGGCTGCCGATCACAGCGTAATCTCAACACATCCTTAATCTTCCAGTCAGACCATGAATCCCATCTGGCTCTTTTGGTTGTTCACACCGCGGCGGCCGACAATCCGCCATAAACCTGGATATAACTGAGGAGGAAAGTGTTTTCTCGAGGGTCAGGGCGGCTGAGAGCGTTATTGTGGAGGGTATTACCTTGAGTTATGGCCGCAATCGAGACACTCAGGTGGTTTGTGAAGGTCGGCCATTGCTGCCTTGAGCTCAGAGGAGATGAATTCCTGCCTTCCTGTTTCTTGAAAACACTCAGGACAAAAACGACCATCTGGGTTTTTCTTGTATTTGCCCTTTGAAGGGTGATAATTCAACTTTTCTCTCCATTCACATACTTTTTATTTCGTCCCTGTGACTTTCAGGCAGCGTACTCGTTGTACACACATTAATGTAAACACACTATTTTAAAGATTTTATTTTTTGGTCTTTATTGGAGGTACAGGACAGTGAATAGATTCGGCAGTCAGGGCGAGACAGTGGGGACTGACGTGCGGGGAAAGGAGCCACAGGTCGGATCCTGCACAGAGGACTACAGCCTCTGTGCATGGTGCTCACAAACTAACCACTAGGCCACCATTGTCTCAGAGCTGTGCTGCTGCAGAGTGGCCATCTCATGTCATCTCCCCCATCTCTAATCTCATAATCCTTTGCTGTCTCCACTCTCTCCCCCCTCCATTGGATTAAAGGCTCCTGGATCAGAGCGCTCTGTCCCCCCCCCCCCACACACACACACACACACACACACTTACCCGATGGCCTACATATCCACTTCCTGCATACGGGCTAATTGACTGACGGGAAAACACGACAATAAACAGGTTTAGAGGCTGAAACGAACAGACTGTGAACTAAATAAAGGTTTGAGATGAATCATTTAGAGCAACGACAACATCATCAACATCAACAACATCAACACAGGATGTTTAGCCTCCCACTGATGCTTTAAATAGACACATTAGTGAAGGACACAGTAAGTCGTTAGGACATATCCTGACCTAAAACATTTACATTCAGGCATGTCATGATACCAGAATTTCAAACTTTGGTATGGTTCTGGTAAAAATCAAGATAGTGATTCCTGTTTCAATACCACAGCGACTAAAACATAGAGACATAGAAGGCGCCCAATACTGATGATGATACTTCCTGATTTCCTGATTTTAATATTCACAAAATAAATATTCTCCTCAGATCTATTTCATGAGAAAGGTACAAAGGCGAGCAATGTTTCCATCAATACGTACCGGTAAACTGCCACACACTCTCTAACTTGCGGTACTAGACCTTCATCAGGTTAAGAGATCGTTAAAACGGGCAGGACATCTTAGATAGGAAATACTAATAAAGATTGATTGATAATGATTGACTAAAGATC